AAAAAAAAAGGCAATTTCTCTCTTCCACTGCCCGTAATAGTTAGAAAAGTATCTACACAAACCACACGCACACACACACCCCACTTTCTCTGTTTCATGTAATATTCAGCTTTATCCTTTTGAAAGTATATGCAGCTGAACAGTAGCCAACTGTAATTTGTGGCTGCTGTGATTCACAGCCATAGACACACACACACACACACAACTTAAACACACACACACACAACTTAAACACGCAGTAGCACGGTTTTGTGTTTCATCTTGGGTATTGTATGTTAGAAGAAGGCAGCTCAATGCCCAACACAGCCACATAAACCAAGCTGGTAATTACAGCCTGAATGAACTGGCCAAGGCCATGAAGCTGGCTGCAGACCGTTTGCACAGCTGAGACATGTACCCGCCTGAATTTGGGCTGAAGGTAACTTGAAGCATTTATTATGAGAAGACTTAAGACTATTCTAGTTTTATTTGACACACAATTGACAAATGAGTGTCAACAGTGAGAGTTTCTTGGTTCCTAATTAGGCTGTAGGCGGTTATTAAAATACTACTTTGACATAAAAGTAGAGTCCTATAAACAATTTTAGCCACTTTAGCAATGAAGCTAAATTGCTGATGCCTTTCTGTGTGTTTGGTAATGGTGCTGTTGTTAGGATTTTAGCAAACATAAACATAATATGTTAAACATTAAAAACAAGAGTGCTCTGTTGTTTCACAATGACATGTTATATTAAACACCAATACACTTGGATCTTAAAGTAAAAGTAACTGCATTTAGCAGAAGGCAGGTATCATACGCATGTTTTTAACACACTATGTCCTCAAGCCCAGGGTTATTGCCACCACAGTATGGTGGGGCTGAATAAAAGTCCCTGATGTCATGCTGGCGGCTATTGGGTGGCGTCAAAGACTTAATTAAAGTTATAAATTCACATTAGAACAATGGCAGACTAATAAAAGACATTTTAATGTCGAAGTGAGGAGGGCTTTGGTCTTGTTTTCTTAAGCTCCCAGTTTGAGCTGAGCACTAAGGGGAGGATGTAGTCCCTTTATTTCTTAGTTTCCTCAAGCCAAGAACACAGTTTTTAATTCTTTTTTTTTTCCATTAAGCTTGGGGTGACTATTATAGTTTAAATTTACAAATACAAGCTAAATTTTCCTGGGCACTGTTCCTCTAGAACTTTTTCTTGCCAGTTTGGAAATGGTAAAGACATTCAGTTTTTCCACTGAAACTAATATAGTGTCATTACTGTCAGAGGATATCATCCTGCTCGTTTCACAAGTCACTGGCCTTAGGACACAGCTCAGAAATATACTGAAATACATAAGATGTTGAGGGTTTTTTTTTTTCAGCAGCGTGACTTGTGGAAGCCCTGTAGCCAACTAACTGATGTGGATCTGAAGACGCCGATGACAGCTTTGAATGCAAAGATTTTATGATTCTTTACTTACTTTCTGAAGAACATAATTAATAAAAAAGTTTACTTCGCTATACAACAAAAAAGACAAGTAAAGAACAAAAGACTGGTCCAAAACTAAAGCCCCTGCAAAGTTATCCGAGTTATCTCTTTTCTGTATACATATAAGAACATTTCTCCATAAATACAGGCAAACACATTGGCACCTACACACTAACACAAATGCATAGGCGGGTTCTCCCATACTTAATATCTTTATCTTTAAGTTATGTGGAAATCATCGACTCATATCAGTGTTTGACTGAGGTCCACCCTGTAAATCTACATTTTAGAGTTGCAGCAGTTCCACGGAGTGCGACGGTTTGAGCTGGAGCGTTCCTGCTGCTTTAGCGCCCTGCTGTTGGATGAAGAGAGGGGTCGACTGTTTGTGGGAGCCAAGAACTTCCTGCTGTCTCTGTCGTTGGACAACATCGCCAAACAAGAACACAAGGTTGGCCAGAAACAACCCCCAAAACCAAACTTGTACAGCTGTAAAACATGTGGGAGTGTGAGCGGTCTGTTGATCAAAACTAAGTTACTGCTGCTGAGATTTCAACATTTTCAACTCTGTGTTTTAACGGTTATGAGTAGATTTAATTTTAGATTCTCATGTGCACAAGGCTTTTTAAAAAGTTATCCATAAAATAAGGAACTGTTTTTATAAACACAGCATTTTCCCTGGTAATACACAAACCATTACCAGAAGAGATAAATCTCAACAACTCCAAATACATTTGCCATGAAAATATTTTGTGACCTTTTGTTAACTATCTTAGGTGATTATACTGGCAGCAGATGAAAGTGAGTCATTCTTACAACCACTGCAACATTGTTTACTTTCTAAGAATCATTTATTATTTTTGACTCACAAAGTTAGTCACCTGTGGTTTGTATTCTTGCATTCCTGAAGGAAATATTCAGAAGTGTGGAAACATTTTTACAAACACACCCTTTCAAAAATAACATCCGTGCACATATGAGTCTACTTAATTGTCTGACCTGAGGGGAAAAGAGAAGTGTTGTAGCCATAGAGGAAGGTAGAAAATCAAAGAGCTGGACGGAGATAAGAAAAAAACATTTATGCAAAAGAGGTTATGATTCATATCAAAAAGGTACACTTTGTGAGGCCTTTTCCTTTGGAGTATAATCAGAGCTGCAAAAAGACTTGAGTATACAGTACATACACTGGCAAAAGAACTGAAATGTATAGACACTAGAGTTACACACAAAAAAAGCCCACAAAACACATCTGTCCACAGCTGCTTGGAGTAAATTGCAAGTTTCTATCTGTCAGATATGAAACCTCTGTTGGTTTTAGGTAGATGAGGGAGTTTGATTTATGAGCTGGGTGTGCAGATTCACTGTAGCTCTCCCTGTTTTTTTGGGTTTGTTTTTTTTTTTGCAATGTTGTTGAATGGCTGCAGGATAAAATAGGTTAGAAAGAAAGAGATGGATCAAACTGTTCTTACACTTGATGGTTTAAGTCCTGATATTATGAGGAAATGCATCTCTGGTACACTCTAAATAATCTAATTTAGCCAAATTAAAAATCCAGAGTAAATTTACAAGATGGACTGATCTTTGTCTGCCTGTTTCAGATCTATTGGCCTGCCCCTGTTGACTGGAGGGAGGAGTGTAACTGGGCTGGCAAAGACATCACTGTAAGTGATCACACCACACGTCACCTTAGCCCTGTGATTTCATGTTTTCATTTTTACCAGAGAAATAAAAATTGATGTGGGTACTGTGATATCACCTGGTAAAGCCCTGTTTTCAAGCCTTCCAATAAATGTTTTTGCTGTCACCAGTTTGGTTGAAAAAAGGAAGGGCGGGTCTGACTGTGAAACCACGCGCTCATTCACCAATGACTTGTGATTGACATCTAGTTAACCAATGAGCTTGTAGTTTCATACCAAAGATAATCCATAATTCTGAAGCATAGAAGGACTGAGATTTGCAAGGTAGACTTCATTTTTTATTCAGTATAACGCAAAACAAGTGACCGGGAACATAAACGAGGCAGGAAATTGCTTACAGAGGTAAAGACAGAGAGCTGTTTCCAGATAGGCTTCAATGGGGCTGGAAGTCCTTTTGCAACCACAGCTATCACCATCCAGAAGCCTCAGATAGAACGATAGAAAGTTTTTAAGAACACCAGGTATTGGCTTTATTGGCCCGACCCCACAGCTACGCCTGTGTTTTATCTTGTCTGTGATCTCTGCTTTGATTTATAAAAGTTTACAGCTGATACAATTCAGATGTGGAACCTGAAAGTTTTTAGAAGTGTGTTGTCATCATCCTATGCAATAATACACACTGCATTATTTTTTATTATTATTATTATTATTATTATTATTATTACTCAAGGAATATTTAACTACAACCTGTTAGCTAAACTGAGTTTTTTGGAGACATAATGCATCATAACATCCACTTTAACCATGTCCCATTTTGCATACAGTTCAGTGAGCATTGCTACTGAGCTCCAAGTGCAGAATGTAAGCGTCCACTCCTACCCAGCCTAACACAATGCTACCTTTTAATCCACTCGAGTCATGGGAGTCATCACAAGACAGAAACACCACATTTAAACAGATAACATGTAATAATAGGTGCAGCACTCCTACTTTTGGACCTGCCATGTGGTGAGATTACTTCCTCCAAATTTGTTTCTTTGAGCCCTATTTGAATGATATCCACACAGTCTGATGTAGAGCTCACACTCAGTGTTTACACACACACTGTCTAACCAGACAGGTTTGGGATCAATGCAAACATTTCATTTTTTAAATGTCACTTAAATATTAAACTTTGTATTGCACTGGGTTAGTGAATTAGAGAAACTCAGTTGGAAACACAGTTCTTGCTGAAGATCTTTGATATATTCACTATGAGAGCAACTCACTGTGTTCTTCCTCACTGGAAGAATATGTGCAGCAGAAAATAACAGTTACATACCTTCGCTTTGACGATATGATGCAATGCAGTGAGGTCACAGAAATCTAAATATTGACCCGTTGCTTGTAAAAATGTGGCTCGTTACATTAGGTTGAATTGGATGTTTATTATCTATATGAGGATGGACGGACTGAGTGAGGTTAATAAAGAGCATCTTGGACATGACCTGCAGCAGTAGCAATAAGATGCAGATTAACAGGAAATGAAGCAAAACCCTGATTGTTAAAGTGTTTCTATTTGGATGATTTGATCTGATTCTGATTCCGTTCTGAGATGACTGCATGCACAAAGTCTCCATGACTGAACTCATGACCTGCTGCAGAACTCACAGCAGAGTTTACCAAAAGATACGCCACCATCAAGTTCCCTTGACTTATTATTTAAGTGCCAAAAAAAGATTTTCTGTGTAATGTTCTGCATGTGGATGTAGTGTGGGCAGGGGGGGCTTGGCTTCACTGACCAACATGTAGAGGCCACCAAGAACCTATAGACCACCCAAGATTACAATTAGATAACTGTACAGGTCAGTGTGTGTGTAGGTACTTCGTGGCTTGAACTGTTTAAAACAGTAACATCACATCTGCTTATGCAGATATACCATAAATGTGTCTATTTATAGTGTATTTATACTCAAGTGTTTGACAGTGTCTGTGTGTACATTTATCCCTGTATGTGTAAGTTTCCAGTGTGTGTGTCTAATGTCTGTGAATGTGTCTTTATGTGTGTGTAAAACAAACCCGTCATCAGTGTGATTATACAGCTGTAGCAGACAGACAACGGGCTCCATTCATACAAAAATCCAGGCTCTAATTTCACCTGACCAGGAGTCTGTGTGTGTGTCTGTCTGTGCATGAGTGTGTTCAGTTTTCTGTATGCATATGTCCTGTTCGAAAGTGCGAGTAACTGTGGAGACTGTGAGTGATGAAGAGAATTAATGTAATGAAGAAGATAATGAGTTATTGTGGGAGAAAGAAAGTGATAAGACAAAAGTTCAAAGAAAATGACAGATTTTGCATTAAAGTAGTTTTTTTACTCACATTTCTATCCTTTGAAATGTTTTTTTTATCCTCTTTTATCCTTTTCTGTGTGAAAACTCACCCAAACCTCCACCACGCACTATTGACCCTAATTACAGAGAAATGTGTTTTCTATTGGAAGAGGTCAAAAGCTCTCCCTGCCACTTGATCTCTTCCCTCCATTCATTTTCCATGTTTGGTCCTTTCTTCATATTCCCTGTCCTCATCTAATATTGTTATTTACAACCCTCCAGTCCTTCAAACAGTAAAACCACCTTGCATGTGCCAGCACACTAAGACAAACACAGACACATGCAGATAAACAGAATTAGAGCGGGGCAGTAAACAGTTGACAGTTTACCCAGACACTTGGTCTGACTCAGCACTCTGAGGCGTCACTGTAAGGCCGGAGTCATATTCAGAACCGCAGAAGTGATAGATTGTGTGTTTATGCTGTCATTTCAGTACCCACTTGGTAACTTTCAGTGCCTTCCAAGACCCATTAATAAATCAATGGGTAGGAATTAATAATAAAAATCCTTTTCTTTATTTCATAAGTATATCATTCAAAGCAATTTCTTATGTAAAATGCTCTGTGGAAGATGCATTAATCACAATTGTAAATCAAAATTGATTTTTTTAAAGGTATCCAAGAAGCTGCATGTTGCACAATGAGTTCTGGGACATTATGAATTAGATTATGAATGAAGTCCAATAGCTCAATGGGAAGAATTAATTTAAAAAGGAGAACTCTTCCAAATACTCATGTTAGTCTTTCTGGAAGACACAAACTGAATTGTGTTAATCTTTAACTACTGAGAGAAGAAGCTCAGTGACCACCAAGTATGTCTGAAACCACCAAAGAACATTTTCTTTTCCAGCATTGTGTAGACGATCACTGTGCAGGAATTCACACACAAACAACGGTGAAAAGAATTGGAAACAAATGGAAAGAAGGCACCCTCTTATGTATATCACTTAGAGAGTCGGATTCCAGAAATCAGTCCATTTTTAGGAGAAATGTGGCCTGCCAGTATCCCCTGATACTGCATTGTCCCGTTTCACAGAGATGATCAAAGGCATTCCTATGTTATTACACTGTGATATGTTGTGTATCTAATGAACATCACCATTCCCATCAAGTCAAACCCTCTCTGCCATTAACTTTATTAAAGCTTCCTGCATCTCTTGGAATCTTTGCTTTTACACACATTCAAACAGTTTGTTCTGGTTTTAACCAAACTGAAAATACAAGCTTCCAGCAGCTTTTATAACAGCCTAGTTGTTTTTTTAAAGTTAAGTGACCTCCAGAAACCATGTCATGTCTTAGATGGAGTGCATCTAGGCACCCTGGTAACTTAGCCAGTGGAACGAGCTAGCCAAATAGCTTTGGTGCCTCAGCCTAACCAAACAACAAGTGAAAGCAAAACATAAAAATGGTCTCACAGTCAACACTCCAGTCTCAGTGAAAAGTCAGTGATGTTTCTACTTCCACACTCTTCCTGATCTCTCTGATCGTATTATGGATTTTCTTTGTATTTCAAAAGCAAACTACCCTGTATATATATTTAAATAATCCTTATATGAAGTGTTTCAGATTTTCAGGACAAATGACAAAATCTGATTTAGTTCAAGGACATGCTGGTAGATTTAATTTTATGCACCTGACAAACACAAAAATAGCCACTGAACCAGAACACGTTACACTTCACATAAAATGCTCAAAGAAGCATAGTTTATATGATAGCAATCGATATGGAGCCAAATACCATAAACAGAGCACAGATAGTGGCTAAAATACTACATTAATGCTGTAGATCAGGTTAATCATCAACAGAAGGAACAAAGAGAAACAGAGAAAAAGACATCTACAGCAGAACAATGCAGCATTATAAAACGTGAAGGCAAGACTTAGAGCTCAAGCTGCTGTGAGGTCACAGCCCTCATTTTGCTCACTGTTTCAACTAATGAGTCAGTGGCATGTCAAAGGTTGTCCGGGGAACCCGTTAACCCCCCCCACCCAACCCTTCCACACACCCAAACCCTTCTGTATGTATGCACACACACACACACACTGATCAGACAATGAGAAAAAGTGATTGCTGTCATCATTTCACCTCATTCTTTTTGTATCTTTTCAGGGTCGCTCATGCATCTTTTCCCTACCCTCCTGATCTCTCTCCTTTGTCACATCAAAGACTTTTCTCTGTCAGCCTCCTGCTCTGCTGAGTGCCTCACCTTTCTCTGCCCCCTGAGACACACACACACACACACACACACATATCTATAACCTTCAGTGGTTTAGAACAAAGGCTTGCCATTCAGCCTTTAAAACCTACCAGGGGATTAGAGATGAAGTTGTTGTGTGAATACACAAGTTTACTTGTTGTAGTGTATACACGCACACATAAAGGTGTTTAACCAATCGATTGGCTGACTAAACTGTTGCCGTGCAGGAGACCTGGAAAACAGCAGGCCAAACAATTCACTTTCTATGAACGCTTACACAGAAACTGATATTCTGCATATTTACTCCAAAAATGATTAATTTGTCTTTTAATTGTCCAAATGATCCAGGCTCTGAGCTGTTTGCATTATGACTGTCTGCTGTTGACAGTGGGATTCATGTCTTTCCAAACCTTCAGATCCACCAATACTCACAACAATCGACAGACAGATGTTACAGTGACCTGTCTGGGGAGAAGTAGACAAGCGCAAAATGGAAAGATAAAAGCTTAGATGTGTGCTACAGTGTGTGAATATATAAGAAATAAACAATGTACTGATGACATGTTGTTTTGAACACTTTCGTAATCACAATACAGAAAATCATTTATAATAATTCATATTCAATATAAATCTGTGGTGATAATGGCAGTAATTGTAGTATCCACAGCAGTCCACATATAGTATCATCTCTTTATGGGCTAATCACCTCAAAGCATGGTGTTTGAAGACAGGAAGAAAAATGTACCATCCATTATCTTAGTATACAGTAAATCCTTTTTTCCAGCACTCTCTTGAGATCCATCTCAGTGTAACCTGATTCTGAGATGAACAGATGTGTCTATGAATCAATAACATGCTCGCTTGTTATTAGAAAGAAGCCAGGATAATGGAAATAAGAAGACATAGAACAAAGATTAAAATGGTTTGAAAAGATATAAGTCCGGCAAAAATAAAATGGATAATGAAATATAAGTTTATCTTATTTCTTTATGTAACTATTCTGCATTCTTTTCTATAAATGTATACATATAAGTCAAAGAAACTTGACAGCAAGGTTATTATAGAGATTGGTGATATTATAGCAGTTTAGGAAACATGGTTAAATTACGTGTGGATATTCATTTGACCATTTGATTGTTAGTCAGTCGTATTAACCAGGACACACATGATGTCAAACCTGTGAGTAGGAGGTGGATCTGGGGACATCATAGACTAAATGGCAAACAGCTATTTACTGTATTTAAAGGTAAACACTACCACTATGTCAGGCTTGGAAAAAAGGGCATTGTATTTCATGCAAGAATTGTGTTTCAGTAGTGTACCTAACACTCTGTCTCAGAATTTGTAGAGTGCCAATCACAAAACAGTGTCCTTCCTAAAGCTTCCTAAAGATCAGCCTTTAAGTTAATAATAAGTACTATATGTGTGTGTGTCTTTCAGTCTGACTGCGTGAACTACGTGAAGATTGTACACCACTATAACCGCACCCACTTATACGCCTGTGGAACGGGTGCTTTCCACCCCACCTGTGCCTTTGTCGAGGTGGGACACAGGATGGAGGTGAGGAATGTACAAAACACAACCTACACGACACTCACTATGCAACAGTGTAACAAGAAAGTCTAAAAATATTATACAATGTCTTTATCTGTTCTCATCTGCTGAAAATAAGATGTTTCAAACACAGAAACTTCAGTCCTCTGCCAACCAATTTAGTCTCTATTCAGTGTACCTGTCGACAGACCCTTAAAATATGGTCTTAAGTGTATAAAGAATTTGGCATTTACATCTACTTTACAACAAATCTCAAAAATAAAATTAAACCCCCAATTTATAGAAGGACTATGCAAATATAATCACGCTGTAAAATCCCTTCCCTCCTCTGTCCATCAGGACCACGTGTTCAGGATTGACCCCTCTGAAGTGGAGGACGGGAAAGGAAAGAGTCCGTATGATCCTCGACACAACGCTGCATCTGTGCTCGTCGGTAATTCCACCCATGCAAACTAATATGAGATGACTGAATAAGAACGTTCATTTAATGGGTCTTGAAATTGGGCTGATTTGACGTACTACAAATATATTATCCAAACAGCTGTTGACTAATTCTGTCTCCTAGGTGATGAGCTGTATGCAGGCGTGGCCACAGATTTAATGGGAAGGGACTTCACTATCTTCAGAAGCCTGGGGAAACGCCCCTCTATCCGCACTGAACAGCATGATTCAAGATGGCTTAATGGTGCACTTTTGTCTTTTTTTAATCAGATTATGTGTTGAGACGACTCACATGAAGAATTACACTGTGTTGATAGGAAAGGCTATTTTTGACTAATTTTTTTCTTTGATTTTCTTTACCAGAACCAAAGTTTGTTGGGTCCTTTTGGGTCCCTGAAAGTGAGAACCCAGATGACGATAAGGTCTTTTTCTTCTTCCGGGAGACAGCGGTTGAGGCTCAAGGGTTGGGAAAATCTACCTACTCCAGAATCGGACAGCTGTGCAGGGTAAAATCCAGCAGCAATTCCAGCTGGATTGTTGACAAATATAAATAAAATATCCTCTTAAATTTATCTTGGCTATTTTTTCTCCAATCAGAATGATATGGGCGGTCAGCGAAGCCTGGTGAACAAGTGGACAACATTTCTGAAGACCCGTCTGATCTGCTCGGTACCAGGAGCTGATGGCAGCGACACGTACTTCGATGAGCTGCGTAAGTACAGCTGTGCAAACTGTCAGAAGTACAAGTATGTACTGTGTGAACTATTTTAAGATGAAAATTGTGCTGAGTAAAAATATGCTATAACATAAATGAAGTAAACAAAGCTTTCACTCGACATCCTCCTCCTGTTAGGTTGTTTGCCACTTTCACCAAAAAACTTTGGTCATTACTAACGTTTTGTTTTTCCTGTCACCGCTTCTAAGATATTGTGCATTATAATCTGGTAGTCTCACTTTTCAGTAGACAGAGAACAGAAAAGCAAAAAAAAAAGTGCTGATTTTCCTTTTTGGATTTTTATCCAGAAGGACATTCTGCGGGCAAATGGAGAAAAGGTCCTGGAACGCATAATAAAAAAAAAAAGGATTTCTGACCTCAATTGTAGATTACCATTCAGTCTAACATTCCTGCAGACTTGGAGCAAGCATGAGTGACAGATTAATTGGTAATAGATTCTGGCCTGATCGAAAGCCAATGTTTTTGCTGTGGGTTTAGAGAAAGTTAGAGGCTCATCTCTGGTAACTCTTCATATGACAAAAACCTATAATGTGTTTTCAGGAGATGAAATCCAGAAGTGAGACTAAATTTATAAAGCATATCAAATGACAAAGAAACCACAATTTTCCTGTAAACCCATATGAATTTCCACCGAGAAGTTATACTTTTCATTATATATATATATGTATATATGTGTATATTTTTAAAAGCCTTTTCTAAAGACTGTCCTGTACACCTTGCACACCAAGCACACATTCCCAGTTTTGTGGTCTTTTTAAGCTCCAAAACCTTCCATATCTTCCTCTGACATGACGGTGACACTCTTTCAACCCCTATCCTTTGGCTCCAGGAGGAGATTTATGAGTTTGGCGCATAGACGCCAATTTCTAACCACATTTTGCAGTTGTAATAAAATGAATGTCTGGTGAAATATAGTGTGATTCTATGAGGGATCCTTGGACTTAGAGGACAAATGTAAATCATGTTTGTTCCTCTGGAAAAAAATGACCCTTTTTTGAACCCATCCTCAGAGCAGTGTCCAGTACCCATACCCATAAGAAGTTATAAAATGCAAGTCAAGCTGATGAGTATCCTAAGAGCAATGTTAGGCACATTTTTTGCCTTTTAAAGCTATCTGTGAATACAAAATGGACATAGCTGTGATGTTTGGTAGTTTGGCACTCCTCATCTTGTTTTTTTTTTAAATATAAACTGAAATAGTCCTGTTTATAATAAATTTAGCATTAACCCGCAGTGCAAAAACTAATTGTGGAAGTTATTCCATCAGAGAATAGACACTAACAGTGAGTCTGTCATGAAGATCAGAAGAGCTCAGTATCACTTTAGCACAAAGTCTGAGACCTGACATTCAAACATGATTTACAGTCGACATTCAGAATTTTTCTGTTGTAATTTTTAAAATCAGCAATAGTGCTTTAAAATATAAACAATAAAGCATTTAGGAACCTTTTTATGGGGTTTTCACCTTCATAATGAGTCAGTTAGGTGTAATAAAAAGACATGCAGGCCAGTTATTTAGCTAACTATACCTGAGATGACCAGAGATTTCTTTCAAATAAAAAACAAGTTGCTTTTGGTTTGTTTCACTCTATCTGGAATTCAGGATTTACTTTTACCAAAATGAGAAATTATTTATACGTATTACTAAAATTATTATTGGAATATATTTTTAAAAGAAGGAGCTATTTGTTGTTATGCAACGTCTCCCCGAACCTGCAGTCATGTGGTTTGCTGAGCAGCTGCACGAGTTTCAGCTCTCAAGATGTTTCCGATAGAGCTTTCTAGGCTGTATCTGTGGGCTATAATATGATGTGTCTTTGTGCTTATCTCATGACATAGTGAAAGGAAAAGTAAGTGGTTTAGGCTAAAGTCTAAATTACCCTTTGGCCACATCTGTCCATCACATTCCCTCATGAACTTTCAGTCTCTTGTCTTGACCTTGATTTTTTCCAACTATATCCATGTAAAAATAAATAATTGTTAACCTGAAGTTTTTGTTCTATTAAAGTATGTGCACCATGTTATGTCTTTAGAAGCAGGAATTTCATTAAAGTACATGGAAACACATTTTGTGGCTCAAGACTAAGAAATACGCTCTTGTTTATTATGGAGATCTCAAACCTGACAAGTGAAGCAAAAACTTAATGAAACTCAGTTTGTTTAAAAGATTTTTATAAGCTGCATGAACCTGTGGTGGATTTTGTTCCATGTCATGACCCTCAGTTATCAGTAACATGTCTCGTTAAGGTTCGTAGACATGGCCAAAGGGTTTTGTTTATCTTTCACTCAACCTTTGACCGTTAGTCTACTGCCACCTGACCAGTGTGTGTGTGTGTGTGTGTGTGCGTCCTTAGGCGATGTTTTCCTACTGCAGACGAGAGACAGAAAGAACCCTCTGGTTTACACCGTCTTCTCCACTTCCAGGTCAGAATCTGTTCATATTACGTGTGTGTGTTTGTGCATGTCTGTGTGTGAGGAGAGACGTTTTTGTGTATTTTGCGTGTTTTTGTTGCATCTAACCCAACTCCCTCTGTCCACCAGCAGTAGTGTATTTAAAGGCTCAGCTGTGTGTCTCTACTCCATGAATGACATCCGGAGGGCCTTCCTGGGGCCATTTGCTCACAAAGAGGGGCCCAACTACCAGTGGGTCCCCTTCCAGGGAAAAGTGCCCTATCCCCGCCCCGGAATGGTATGTCAGTAATCATAAAAGCACATCAGCGTCACAGTATCTAGAGTTTCCAGCAGTGCAGTGTTGGCTGATCAAGTAAATTTACACATATTTGCGTAATTGTGAGAAACTTTTACTTGGAAGTGTATATTTTAGATTACGTTAATGTTTAGTTATTACTTAAAATCTGATTTTAAGTACAAAACATATATACATCCTATAATATATAACACATTGCCATAGATTTAATGACCCAATAAATTAATAATGCTAGACCATCACATACAGTGGAATATTCTTTAGTATGTCTTCAGTGTTGAATTTGTTGCCTCAAACTAAAACTCAAAACAAAACAAAAAAGTTGTAAAAAAAATGGCCTCATAGTCACATTGAGACAGTATTCAATATTAAATATTGTTTTCTTCCAAACCCCCTTTCCTTTCAATCAATATGTGCTCATTATGGGCCTTTACATTCAGCTAAGCACACAAGTGTAGCATCAGCAGGATTTGTTATGCAGAGCTTCAGCTGTTACTGCTGCTGGAGAACAATCCCTATTGTATGAATGCAGAATACTAATTGTATTTGGCCTACAGAAAACCCTCCCTCACGCCATCATTACCTTGCTGGATTGTAAAATTAGCAGAACAAATCAGATTTTAAGAACGCGATCATGCTTACAAGTACATTTACGCAAAAAGTGCACATAATGCACATTCTGATTTAAAATGCATAACCCACAAAAAAACCACCAAACAGTGTGGCTCAATAAAGTGCAAATTAGTAAAAAGAAAAACGTGGAATTGTATGAGAATAGACGCTGCATGATGCTAAATTGAGTTTTCAGCATTTAGAAAATCCAGGACTGGAATTTTAATTAAAGAGGGTGGCTGGACTCTGACCTGGTGTAAATCTCTTTTAAGTCCTTGAGACCCATCACACCATAATCACCTCTCTGTTGAACTGTGCTTTGTGTACTTCAGGTCAGCTAAAGTGCTGAGAAGTTCGGCATTTAATTTCAGTTTACATCCAGAAAGACAAAACAGGTTTACTCATCAAATATCAGTCATTGTGCAATGACCGAGTCCAAACATAGTAAATAGGAGAGCACTGACTCAGAGTCAGCTGTTTTTTGCAGAGCTTTACAGCAGCCGCATGCATGCACGTTCACGCATTCAGGTCCTGAGAGAAAATGTGTACTCACAGTAGTTTCACTGTAGTAGTAGTTTTTTAAAATCCTCTTTTTATTTGTATCCCCACTGATGTTCAGTAAAGTGAATTAACCTCAATGTAAACTTTTTAAGTTCCCAAAATACTAATTCGATTTTTTCTGCCCTTCTTTAGTGCCCCAGCAAGACATTCGGCAGCTTTGAGTCAACAAAGGGTTTCCCAGATGATGTGATTCAGTTCGCGCGTCACCACCCTCTAATGTACAACCCGGTCTACCCTATGAGCCGAAGGCCCATCTTCATCAGGACCAATGTGGACTACAGCTTTACACAGATCGCTGTGGACAGAGTCAATGCTGCTGATGGACAGTACGATGTCATGTTCATTGGCACAGGTGAATGAGCAGTAATCATTTCTAACTCTAGGGTTAAAAAACAGGAAAATGATGAAATTAGTTATTAATCGGTTGTGTGTGTGAAATTTCAGATAAAGGGACAGTACTAAAGGTGATCAGTGTCCCCAAGGAGAGCTGGAACAACATGGAGGAACTTTTACTGGAGGAGTTGGAAGTTTTCAAAGTAAGAAAACTGTGCCAACAACAATACATGAAAGTATATGTATTTAGTACATTTAGTCATCATGACATGTTGTATTGTTACAAGCATTAAATCTCAATGAAGTGTTGAAATTAATGGATCATTCAAACTTGCATGCCTTTTATTAACTGTACTGTACTCCCTGGACATGACCTAAAGAGGAAAACAAAGGATAGTTTGAAAGAACATTGTATACATATGCATGTATACATCCATTGTTTATTGTATTATTGTAGTATATTTACCTTACGATATAAAGCACCTTGAAGTTTTGATTTGGTGCCATATAAATAAAATTGAACTACATACTGATAATTTTGGTCAAATCTAAAAAGTATGTTATTTAGTTTGGTACATCTCTTCTCCTTCCCAGGACGCCTCATCTATCATCAACATGCAGATCTCCTCAAAGCGGGTATGCTTGTTTAATTCTTAAAAGCCCCAAAATCATGTTTTTAAGAGTATGTCAAACAGTGCAGCACTGTATTATCTTTAGTCAATTATTTCCTCTTCACAGTGGAAATGGTTGACATATCTAGACTTAGAAATTAATCGACCTGTTTATCTGCACAGCAATATATTTATATGCCCCGAAAGAGCAATATAGTATCTGAGGCTGTACTAAATCAGAATGGTGATGATGGATAATGCACAATATAACCAAAGAGAGCCAACATAAATTGCCATAATGGACACATGGATGGTATTTCTGGCACATAAGCTGTTGTGCTGTTTCAGAATAAAGCATGTTTTAAATGCTTCTCTTTGCTTGCTTTGTTTTCACAGCAACAGCTGTATGTCGGCTCTGACACAGGCCTTGCCCAGATTCCACTTCACCGCTGCAGTGTATATGGGAAGGCCTGCGCTGAGTGTTGCCTGGCCAGAGACCCGTACTGTGCCTGGGATGGAACTTCCTGTACTCGCTACCTGCCAAACACAAAGAGGTCTTCGACATTAACATGACCTATAACAGATGATCTTTACTTAAAAGAAAAAAGTGAATTTGCAAATACTGTCGTGCAATAAAACATTCCTTTTCTTAAACTAAAATGTCAAACTTGTTACAGACGTTTTCGCCGCCAGGATGTAAGAAATGGAGACCCTAACACTCTGTGCTCAGGAGGTACAATTCTTTCATCATTTCCATATCTACAACAATGATTTTTGTAGACATGTTAGGAAAACTGGTGTTAATCCTATTTGTTAAGACTAAACTATGCAAGCTGTAGTCTGATGCTTCTTGGACTCATTGAGAAGCTTGCCATCTGAAATCTTACAGTCCTTATGCCAAATAATCTAAAATATCCCCCGCTTTCACCCCTGGTGACCTCTGTCCGCTCAGGCCACAATACCAGCATTTTGTTGCTGTCTTGCTGCCACAAAACTGAATCAGGCTAATCGCTCAAACTGAAGGAGCTCCTGAGTAATGCGATTACATCATTTGGCATGCAAGCTGTGTTGTGTAAAACTAATGAAGGTCAGAGTAATTGTCTGTGATGAGATCGGCACTACCCCAAAGTACCATAAAATGCTGATCAGGAGTCTGTTTGGCAGTTTGTAGACCATTATTTCACCAGTAATCTGTGTAATCCTCTCCCCACCTCTTGCCTTGATGTAGGCTGACTTTTAAGTCTTTGAGTACTTTTGTGCAATTTTATGGCTGTGGTTAAGATTTAGGGTCATATCACTCATTTTAGAAAATGTTATCAAGTCAAGTCAAGTCAACTTTATTTGTCAATTCTGCCACATGTACAGGACATACAGAGAATAGAAATTTCGTTACTCTCAAACCTGTGTCTGCCTGTCTGTTTTTTCTAGTAACATTTCTGGATTCACCATGCTATCCTTCCAGGTTTCTCTGTCTTATTCTAACCTGGACATGTTTTGTTATTAGTGAGCACATGTGCTGCTCTACATTGACTCATTTTGTGTTTGTCTCTGCTGCCCCCTGCAGATCATCATAAGCATCGTATTGCAGAGAAGAAGCTGTATGGTGTAGAGGGAAGTAGCACTTTCTTAGAGTGCGTCCCCAAATCCCTTCAGGCCAGAATCACCTGGACCTTCCAGAAACATCCACAGAATCGACGAGAAGAGGTGAGAGGAATGGCTGACACTGGCCAGAGATGATGACGGAGAAGTCATTAAAGTATACTGTGGCATTTATAGGTCATGAAAATGTTTTGTGTGTGTTTGCATCATCAGATCAGATCAGAAATCAAATTCTTTTGTTTATAATTACTTTAGCAAACAACATCTTTGTAGCTTTAGAGCTTATTTCTTTTCATGATTTAAGTTGATTTTTTCTTGCTTATAGGTCCGTCTAGACGATCGCATACTCCAGACAGACAGAGGTCTTCTGATTCGCCGTGTCCTGAAAAGAGATATTGGTATCTACCAGTGCCATGCAATGGAGCACGGCTTCACCCAAACTTTACTAGGCATCACCTTAGAACTCGTACCTTCCACACCTTCATTTGTCTCCAATCTACCCTCCGATGCCCCTGTTCGATTAGACCCCCGCAGCGGAGGCGGACCCCCAATGACCAATCAAAAGCTTTGGTACCGGGACTTCATGCAGCTGGTGGACCATCCGAACCTAAACACAGTTGACCAGATTTGTGAGCAGGTTTGGGCACGCAGGAACACCGGTGGTGACCAGGTGGGTAAGGACATCGCACCTCTGCGTCCTGCTGTCCGCCCACCTAATAAGAAATGGAAGCATCTTCAGGAGATAAGGAAGGGGAGAAACCGTCGGACCCACGATGGGAAACCAAACCCGCGTGCGCCACGCAGTGCAGGGGAGTAACGATGTGGAGAAAGAAATGGAGGGAGAAAAGAATGACTGAAACAAGAAGAAAGCAGGAGAACGACAGAGACTGAGAAACCAAGAACTCCTGGAGGTGTTCACGCATACAGATACACCCACATACGCACACACTTACACACACGGACACACACAGCACCTCCTCTATTGTGTATATTTATCTATGGATGCCCCCACTATATGGTAGTCCAATCCCTGAGTCCTCATCCCACTGGCCAGTCCCTGCATGTGCTGCTCTAACTGATTCTGCACGATCCCTTTATAGTTCCACTAGATTAGTGAGTTTACTAGCAGATACATGGGAGTAAACACACCTTTATGTGTGAGCAATAAACTCACTTACCTGTCATGGGTTCATAGCAAAGGATTTCCACATCTCAAAAAATCCAATTACACATTGTGTGTAGTTAGTGCGTCACAGTGTGCACACTGTTTTAAAGGACTGAGCCACAGAAACAAATGTAAGCCCAAAAGTTTTGGATTAACTCCAAACGGCTTTTCTGCCCTGAAGATTTCCTGCCAGCGTAGCAAAAGTGTGGACTCTTGTTTTATGCACAATGGGACCGAACGGAGCAACTGGAACGTACAAAAAAGTAACTGGAAACACATTACTATTTAAGTTCAATTGCACAGGCAGTTAAAAAAAAAAGTAACATTTGAAACTTGTTCATAGAAATGAACAGCTTCCTGTGGTGTTGTACACAGCAAGTGCATTCATAATAATGTCACCTTTCCATGGTTTTGCGCATATTACATAAAGCTGTCACAAAAGAAAGAGCTGGCATCCTGTGGAGCAGATCTTCACAGCAAATAACTGGTTATGTTATATTTTGCTGTTTAAAAAAGTATCTTTTGCAGTTTCCTCGGGCAATTTGAGGCATGTCACAGCAAACTAAATTAAACAATGGAAAGCAGGTGGTCATAGTTAGAGAGCAGGCTTATTTGGCCTGATGTGATTACATATATTGTTTTACATACTGGCTTGAACCACTGTAGAAAGAGTCGAGGAAAATCTACTCGGAATTCCATGAAATGACAAAAAGATGTTTACAGTACAAAGGCACAGATGGAGCACAAAGAAATCAGTTTGAAAGCAAATAATAACCTAAATAAGTATGTCTAAAACTAACCTGGTATCTGTTATGTGTAAAAATACAAGAAATACAGTAGGAAGAGCTCTGACATAATCCAAAACCTCACTCCAAAGATTAAAAATTAGCTGATTTCAACATTTTGTGCGTAAACATTAAGACGAAATGATGCCGGGTGTTTTTTGGGTGAGGAGCGTTAATATGGCAAGCAGGATGAAGAGGAAAAGGAAAGATATTGGTGGACTCCAAGTATGACAACCTGTGTTTCTGGGCTACGTTGCGGTATATATATTAGCATGATATTTATGAGTGAGTCTATAATTTTAATTTTAATTTTTTTTTTTTTTTTTTGGTATTCGAAGTGGTACTTCTTTTGTTTTACACTGTTCTTGCATATATTGTTTGTTTTTAAATAGTTATGCAAAGATTTAAATTAAGCGAGTCACAGATTCTTCGTCTAGCACGGTTATAAAAACCACAGCGCATTTTCACTGCAACAGAAAAGAAAAACAACTCTATCTGACTTCATACACTGTTGTAATCACTTCTCGGTTTGGTGTTCCGGTCATTAGTATTACTGATTTCTGCTGCTTAATGATGTCATCCCTACATAATGGACAATTAGTACTATAAGGTCTTCCTTCTCATGTCTTAGTCTAATCTCTCGCTGTGTACTGTCTGTATAGAAGTCTTTGTTTGTTGGTTGTCTGTGCTAACATTGTGTGTGTAGCCCTGCCCCTAGTGTCCATTGTGTGTACAGGCTTAGGTGAAGCCTACCTGTGGTACCATACTTTAATGTATCATAGTCTATCCACATGAAAGAAAGTGAAACTGGCTGGCCTTGTAAAATAAAACATGCTTTTTATTTGCGTTCAGTCTGTTTTTCATGATGAATATGTGGTCTGTTTATGTTTCATGGCATAAACTAGACCTGTGAGTGGACTTTTGATGTTTGGATTCATTGTTGCTGTTATTTATATACCTTCTTTATAGAGATGTAATTAACTCGTTAAACTGAACTGAACCGACTGACGCCTGTAAAAGGGACACTCTGCATTTTGACACCACGTCCAGGTAGAGAGGGGTTACTGCATAAGTAAATAAGTAAACTGATTTTCATTGCAGGAGCATGCTGCTAGTCTCTGCATGTGCCAACGCCTGCTTTTTATTCACAGAACTACTTAAGTTGTGCTAATATTAACTCTATAGGGGTTTTCCTTCTTACAAAACTGCATTTTTTTTACACTGGTAGTGATGTCAAACTGCCTGAGTATTCCTTTTAACCCAGCTGTTGTTTTGTGCTTGAAATTGCATGACCAATGTTAGTGGCTAATGCATTTGACAAAGGTGTGGTGGCAAGAAAGAGATGGGGAGAAAGAAAGCACAATGTTGAATATTATTATTATTATTCGTATGTATTTATGTGCAAAGATAAGCTGATATGTTGTGGTGGATTTTTATTTTTCCTATACATGTAGATTTACATCTGTGTTGTTTGTGTTTTGCTTAAAATTACTCATCCCCAACAATTTTGTACATTACAGCCAATGGAGAAGCTCTTCCTTAAAGACAGTGTCCACTTAGAGTCTTTGATGTGCACACAGTCCTCCAATCAAATAGTCCTGTTGGATTCCATGTCATGTGACGCACCCCTGTTCAACAGCTCACAAGGAGAAGCTTGTATGTGTGTGTTTGTGTGTGTGTGTGTGTGAGGGTGGGTGAATTGTATGCTTCTGTTTTATGCGTGTGTGTCCGTGTGTGAGTCTCGGGGGGGGAAGCAAAGCTCTGTATATAATGGCAAAGGAACAGCTGTGTGTAGAGTGGTCTGTAGATGAAAGTTCAAAGGTCGAAGGCCAAAGTAACGTGGTGCACTGTAATACTCCCAGTTATTTGTGAAATGTCTTGTCATGTTTTTTTTCATTAACACAATAAAAATATGCAGTTACTTCCAGATTTGCTTGTAATCTCTCCTGTTCAACTTTCAGAATGAACTGATTTCATGAAGTTACATAAATATGAAAAAACAGGAAGTTAGCTGCACATAAAATAGTAACCAAATGCACTTCACACTACAAAAACATTCAACTACAGGTTCTCAGTACCTCAGAATGATGGTCCAATAAAAATGATGACAATTTTAAAGAACAGAAAAAAGGAAACAACTAAATTTCAAACACTGATTTTTAGTCTCCTTGCAGGTTAAAGAAGTGTAAATATTACATTTTTAAGTGACTTACTTGTTTTATATGTTTTACAGAGAGATACATTTAGATCAATCTTTTATTAAATTTAGTTTATTTCAACTTTTAATTTACCAGGACTGGAGTGTCATCTGTGTTTTGACCACATGGTGGCAGTGTAAGAACGATCATTTTTGTTCTAGTCGCTATGACTACGCTGCTGTAAAACTGAGACTCCACATACAGGGCTGGACATTGGAAAGGCTGAATGGTGATGTTTTATATAGTAAAACTGATAGATGTGTAACATTAACAGTGTTAATCATTCCTAGAAATCGGAAGCAGAAACACATCATTTGGATTTCCAGCTGCCGAAAAGTGAACTATAGCACTCAATAAAAACACACCAACAACAAGCTGCTAATTGTTGTCTTACTACTATTAAGCCCACTGACTGTCCTGTTATTGCTGATGAAAATTGTTACTTGTTCAGATAATCAGTGGTGTTAGTGCAAACAAACACAAATACACATTTAGCACAGACATGTCGAATAGAGAAAGCAGCAGACAGCTGCTTTGCATGGTTGACCTCTCTTTTTGTAGCTCTCCCTATTTAACTGTTTAACTGCATCTACATCTTTGACATGTGGACCCACATTCTTCATCCTGAAATCGTCACGGCAGGCCGCTTAGCAATGGGAACATGAACACACATGCACACTGGGACTTACAACACAGCGCACACAAAGAAACGAGCAAGACCACGACCATTCCTTTACGCATGAAAAACATTCACATATGTTCAAGTTTTCAGACGCTTACACACACAAATGGAGTATGCGGTCACCAGTCATAAACACATAGGAAGGCAAATTTGGTCCATATTACTCAAACTGGCAACCCATTAGTTCCCCAGTGCTCTCAATGAGCTGCATTATTCTGCAAGTGTTAAAATGGGTCTGCTGTGCTCTGTGGAGTTATAATTGAGGTATACTGATTTTACTGGTTACTATTTACCACTCTGTTCCTATTTATGTGTTCCCTGACTCGTATGTTGAGTCAGGGTTGAGATTAAAGAGTGAGGTTATTTTGAAAGAAAAGAAGTCAATTGTTGGTTCACTAATGAAGCAACAGGGGTTTAATGATAAGAACGTGGATTAAACATACACACAGTTACCTGTCTTCTTAAACTGAGGAACCATTGTAGGGTG